TGGCATAGTAGCACTTCACCAGCAAAAAGTATCTATTATCCTTGTCGTTAGTTGCTTCTGCCAAGCTTTTGCTACAGGCGAGCCGGAAGACACCGCAATTCCAGCCCCCGATGCTGCCGCGGCCCTTGTAGGCGCGCCGTTCATTCAAGCATCTGTGCACCATTGAATCATTCACGGCTTCAAATGCAACAACCTTCTTGATGGCGCATGTTTTCTGTCCAACTGTCTCCCTGTTGCAGATGATGCTGCCGCGAAGGACGCTGAAGCCGAAGGCGCGTGTTTCTGTTATAACCACGGTTTTATCCCGTGTTTGCATCCGTTTTCTTCCCTTCCCGTTTCGCCGCCGAAGGAAACACACATGCATGCATGCATGCACGGGTCAAGTGCCATCTTTCACGATGAGCCCTTCATGGCGGACGCCGTCCAGGAGCAGCATCACTGCGCCAAGCGCCGACGCTGCAGACGCAAGCAAGAGGCGCGGCCACCTCCACGCTGCAGCAGTCGCTTATACTTGTCATATGCACATCCTACTAGACATGTCTAAGTCTACGTGACCGGGGTCAATCGTGCTTGCCGCAGGACAATCAAGAGCGACTGCTTCTATCCGGGTGCTTCGCCATCCCGGTGGCCGCTCTTGACTCCTCGCGTCTGGCGCGCGAGCTGGGAGTCACGCTCTACACCGTGGATTGCGGTATGCGAGGACCGACGTCATAGAGTTATAGGTTTAGATCAATTTGGCCATTTGACCGACCGGCTTCTCCGCATTCCCCCGCAGGGCACCGTGTCTGCAGGAGACAAACCCGCGACCCTCTTCTGCTGGCACGAGAGCGTGCACTTCCCGCGGCGCTTGGAGGCAGTCAGTGGGCGCGAGGACTGTATATGACTGTGTAAAACTGTATTCTGGCGGTGCCTCCTGTATTGCGACAGGGAGAAACATGGAACACATCTGCTGGAAGTTCGCAGATGGGTGGCTCAACCACCAACTGCACAAACTAACAAGTTCGACAATGGCTATTACTGTTCCATACCATTCCCCTCAAAAAGGATACATGGCCATTTCCACCATTTCATCTTGTGGTTTAAGTATTGTTTGTTGTCCATCTCTATTTGGAATAGTGGGCGTTAAGTGACTTTCTCTGGCACTTGTTTTACATGGTAAATCATGGTAATGGACAACTTATGGCCATAGGAAAAGCAAGGGAGCGCCGCCTTGAGGCGGGTGTTTACAGTGCAATTTGGTTGTATGACATGCATTATTCATCCCATCAAGAAGGCATTGGTTGGAAAAAACTTTGTTGCGCGTCATCTTCGGATTTAACAGAAGCTGTATATATACATACACCTATACCGTAGAAGTGTGGATAGTGTTGATACACATATAATACTGAACATATATTGTGAAGATGTTTAGAAATAAATAAACATCTGAATATGTACAATATATATACATGTACATATAAAATCACCCCCTGTTGGTATAGTTGTTGATGTCATTGAGTTCATCACGTTCACACATGTACATATGTGTACATCTATACATATATATATATATGTAGATCTAAAAGTCGTCCAGCTAAGCACCCCCCGGGAAATGTGAACGAGCATCTTCCAACGTAGATGTGCTGCTCCGCAACAAGCTACATGAAGCCAAGCCTGGGGACGGTGTACCTTAAAACAACTGTACTAAGAGATTGTTCATGAGATTTGTCCCTTTGATCTTGGGATTTGTCCTTTATTTAGCTGTTCTTTTTTTTGGGCACTGGCCGAATGGCTCTGTTGTTTCAGCACATGTAAATTATTTATTCCAGGGGTTCACATTAACTACATGTCCCGTCCAATGGATCGACCTGGGTTAACTGCCCGCATAGTGGCGACTGACAAAGAAAAAACTTAAGTGTTCTTTGTTTCTGCTTCTTACTAACCTAAGAAGGTATAGACTCAGGCCCCAGGTTGTTTTGGAGGATTATGGTTGCTATGCCATTTTGCTTTCTGGAACTGCAAAATTTAACCATGCCTCCGCGGCGTCACAGAAGCTTGCTGCGGCACCAACGGGAAAGTCTTTCAAGTTGCAGTGCTTTGGCGTCAAGTATGACTACCGGGATTTGCCAACATCGATTACACCATGGACTGCACCCAGTTTCTGGAAATGACATTTGCCCATGTGGGCCACTACGACGGTCTGCTGGAGACCTTCATCAAAAATGATGCATTCCCACCTTTGATCCAAGACATTTTGAAGTTTGTCAAGAATCATGCAAAGGAAGGCTGCAGCACAATTGGTGTCTTCTCGGATTGCGGGAGGCACAGGTCGGTTGCTGTTGCCTGGTGTGTCCAGTTGCTGTTACAGCACATGGGGTTTCCATGCGAGACTGAATTTTTTGAAAAGAAGCGAGGTCACTGGCTCGGACTGTGCCACTCTTGTGACAAGTGCTCACTTCAGAGCCCCTTCAAAGAAAGGATAGCACAATGACTGCCAGAATGGTTCAAACACGACCGGCAATGAAAAAAAGGAGCTGAAAGTTGAAGCGACTTTCCGAGGTGGCTAGCCCCTCGTCAGCTTGCAGTTTTTGACAAGTTTGGACATCACTCACCACGGACAACTTCTGGACTCCATGAAGTCACACACCGTGCTTGATCATTTTTATTTGTCACCAGCAAAAACTATACAATAGTCTTCCGCGTCGAACGCGTAGCGGCTGAATTTTAACCGTGGGGCGGCGGGCGGAAGTTTCAAAAAATAGGAACCCACACGGAAGATTGTAAGCAAACGATGAGCTGAACCGTGCCTACAGGATGGTAACCAGCCAAGTTGTGCCTTCAGAATGACTGTGAAGCACCTGCCCCAATGAAAATAAGAAATTCAAATTGAAGACACTAAAGGAGCCAGCCATGGCAAATTTAAGAGCAAAATCCCACGAACAAAGGGACAAATGCTACGAACAATCTTTACTATACATACAGGATTCCATGTTAATGATTGATTGCAATGATCATAAGAGGGATTAAGAGGGTAAAACCACCAACAGAGATGGTAGTTATTTTCTATCCTCAAAAGTGGCATGACGATCCAATTGCCTAAACAATAGTTTTTCAAGTGGTTTATGCAGCAAAAAACACCAGCCGAATCTGTTGGTATGTTGTGCAATGTCATGTCATGTAATCTTGTCTTACCTGACCTTACCTTACCTTATTTTACCTCATGTAAATTGATGTAATGTTATGTTTTGGTTTGGATTGTTATGTAGTTGTGTAATGTTATGTACTGTATTTATCTTATGTTATGCTGCATTATGTTATGATATGTTGTATTTTGCTATGTTGTAATGTATATTTGTGTATGTGATGTTGTTTCTTCCACATGTATATATATACACATTTATGTAATGTATATATATATATATAAATACATGCATAATTGTAAATATATATATATACTGTATATGTATTTACATATATATACATTAATACATATAAATATATATATATATGTGTAATGTAATGTGATGTGATGTGATGTGATGTAACGTAACGTAAGGTAAGGTTATGCAATGTAATGTAATGTAATGTAATGTCATGTAATGTCATGTATGTATATGTATAAATCTAAATAATATATATATATATATATATATACACATACATGTATATGCATATGTAAAAAAAACATATATACTTTTGGCGGGGAACCTTCAATCTTCGCTTTTTGGCCGCTCAGACCCCTTCCTACCGAGCGGATTGTGGCACCTTCACCCGTCAAGCTCGGCACATTGTGGCACCACAGGTGGACGTCAAGCGTCGTCCAAAACGGTGATTGAATCACTAAAAATGGGGATTTCACGGGAGATTGATATAGATAGATGGGATAAGCTCTAGGATTTTTTCAGAGTTTGCCATTGAAACCATGTCCCATCTGATTCATCTGGTAGCCAAGTTTTGCATGGAACCGCAATGGCCAGATCCAGACATCTTGCAGACTGTTCCATGTCAAATTTATGGGGTGTAAAATCGGAACAACTTGAGATGTGGGGGCATGTTAGACATGATTCATGAAGACAATCACTGAAAGAGCATTGTATTTGACTGGAGGCACCCTGGTTTAGTAGTGGATCTATTCTTATTTATTTTGGGGTGATTATTGGTGATTTGACGGGGATTTGATGGGGGATTCGGTGGTCAATGGGGAAGTGGCATGGGTTTAATCGGGATTTTTATGCGTTTGAACACAAAAGTATAGGACACCAACCAGATTTGTAAACTGTATTCTCCCCTCAAAAAACAGATGTTTCTCCATATTTATGTATCTCAACGTTAGTTACTCCCCAAAAGAACATGAAACTCCATCATGTCATCGGTTATATGTTGCTGGAGATTCCACCTGCTGTTGATGATCATCACGTGCACCAATAATTTTCAGACACACCGGAAGAAATTCGAGAAATTGAGATTATATGTTCAGTATATCATTGGTATATATCATAGAATTGTACCATTGTATGATCATTATCTCCCAGTACATCCCATTCTCAAGGAGGGCTGGGTGTCATATTTCCCAGTCAATCCCATGAAATGGCTGGTTTCCACTGCAAAACTCCATGAGTCAAACCATGTCAAAGCCACCAAAAACCCAAAGGTGTGCCCCCCACTTTCTAAGTTGGTTTATAAACAAACTTTACTATAGTTAGTTCGATCCCCTATAAACATCTATAAACCATCGTTAGCCTACATAGTTATATTGGTTGGTGGTTTGGAACATGACTTTTATTTCTCCATTCAGTTGGGAATTTCATCATCCCAACTGACCAACTCCATCATTTTTCAGAGTATGTATACCACCAACCAGTATAGTTCGATCCCCTATAAACATCTATAAACCATAATTAGCCTACATAGTTCTAAGTGAACCCAAGAGTTGATATATCCCGTAGCCAAGCAACGGCACGTTTTAGTCGACGGCAACCGACCGTGTTTGATACGCACCGCAGCAGGTGGGTCTGAATGCCATGGTGTCCGCCCTGGGCGGCCTAAAGGCTCCATGGGTCCATGCCTCAGAGTGGAGAAAACCTGGGAATGGTTGGAAAAAAACCTAAACAACGTGTGTATATATATAATTATATATACAACACATATGTATATATATATATATAGGTCTATATATGTATATATTTATATATGTATATATATACATGTATAAATGTATGACACCCCGGGATTTATTGGAGAAATACAGACACTTACATCTTATTGTTAAAAGAACCAGTGCATGAATCTCCCAGATTTATCATCAAAGCCGGGATGAGTTCCCTGAGAGCGCAGTTCACTAATCAGAAGTGGGTTATATTTCGCCATAGTTGGTAAAGGCCCCATATCCCAACTTCTGGAGGTTAGAATCCTGTATAAAAATCCCATAAGACGAACCCGCGGCCTGCACCCTCAATCATAGTTATTCCCAAAGGAATTCCCATAGTCATCAAAAATACCATGCTTATACCCATGATCTACCATAGTGGTACCCTCAAGTCCTTATCTTTTGTTTTGGAGAGTCTTCCTGGCACCCCCCGTTTTTGGATGCTCAGGAGGTGTCAGCCACGCAGAAGTTTACACCGCGACTGAGCCATCCACCAGAGACCCACAGGTGGGGCTTGGCCAATTTTGGGATATGAAATAGCAACCCCCATAGAGATAGAAAGGTTATAGCTATAGAAGGTAAATGCTAATTCATCACTGGGATTTACTTTTCTATCTTTTTGTTCTTTTTGGGGCAGGTTAATTAACATGGTTTAACCCAGAATTTTGATGAGTGGCCGTTAGCTTTTGCGGGATTGTTAACATATTCCTTGTTTTCACTGGGGCACATATGGTTTTGCCCAAGACCGGGGAATGGGTCTCCAGTTTATGATAATTCATGGCCATTTTGTAAAATGAACAAATGGCAACAGGTAATCAAACATGGCAATGTGAATTTCCATTTATAGATCAGTTTCCAATTAAAACCTCCATTTATATATAGGGGATTTCCTACTTCGACATTTGATTACCAGAAGGGGAAATATAAATCTGGTTGGTGGTTTCAAAGATTTTAAAATTTCCATGTCATATATGTTTTTTTTCCTTCCCATTGACGAACTCATATTTTTTCAAGATGGTTATTGCACCACCAACCAGTAAATATATAGTACTATTGAAAATGGCCATTGATAGTTGATTTTCCCATTAAAAATGGTGATTTTTCCATAGCAAACTGTTAGTTTACCAGAGGGTAGTACTGTGCAGGAAATAGACTGATGATATCATCAAACATAACCACTTGACAATGAGAATTTTTGGGATCCACGGATCTAGAAATTGAGCATCTGCAAGTAGAACAAAAACAGTTGGGAACTATGTAACAAAAATTACTTTACTTCGAGTTATCCCCACCATGACATTTATACGTTTTGTTACTGGCAAATCTTCTGGCATTCCATCTGACATATCTTCTGGCATTTTATCTGGCATTTTATCTGGCATATCTTCTGGCATTCTATCTGGCATATCTTCTGGCATAGCTTCTGGCATTCTACCTGGCATATCTTCTGTAATATGTTCTGGCATATCTTCTGGCACTCTATCTGGCATTCTATCTGGCATATCTTGTGGCATTCTATCTGGCATATCTTCTGGCATTTTATCTGGCATATCTTCTGGCATTCTATCTGACTTTCTATCTGGGGGTCTATCTGACATATCTTCTGGCATTCTACCTGGCATATCTTCTGGCATTCTATACCTGACATTCTATCTGGCGGTCTATCTGACATATCTTCTGGCATTCTATCTGGCATATCTTGTGGCATTCTACCTGGCATATCTTCTGGCATATGTTCTGGCATATCTTCTGGCATTCTACCTGGCATTCTATCTGGCATATCTTCTGGCATATCATCTGGCAAATCTTCTGGCATTCTATCTGGCAAACATTCTGGCACTTTATCTGGCATATCTTCTGGCATATCTTCTGGCATTCTACCTGGCATATCTTCTGCAATATGTTCTGGCATATCTTCTGGCACTCTATCTGGCATTCTATCTGGCATTCTATCTGGCATATCTCCTGGCATTCTACCTGACATTCTATCTGGCGGTCTATCTGACATATCTTCTGGCATTCTATCTGGCATATCTCCTGGCATTCTACCTGGCATATCTTCTGGCATATGTTCTGGCATATCTTCTGGCATTCTATCTGGCATTCTATCTGGCATATCTTCTGGCATATCATCTGGCAAATCTTCTGGCATTCTATCTGGCAAACATTCTGGCACTTTATCTGGCATATCTTCTGGCATTCTATGTGGCCGTTGAGGTCCAGCGGTGCGCACTGAGCTCGGAAGGTCCCAAGTTGAGGTCCAGCGGTGCGCGCTGAGCTCGGAAGGACCCAGGTTGAGGTCCAGCGGTCACTGAGCTTGGCAGGTCCCAGGTTGAGGTCCAGCGGTGCGCACTGAGCTAGGAAGGTCCTAGGTTGAGGTCCAGCGGTGCGCACTGAGCTGGGAAGGTCCCAGGTTGAGGTCCAGCAGTGCGCACTGAGCTGGGAAGGTCGCAGGTTGAGGTCCAGCAGTGCGCACTGAGCTGGGAAGTTGGCGAAGAGCTTGGCGAAGAGTTGGCAAGGCGGAAGTGGAGGTGGAAGTTGATGCAGACATGGTCGAGGAGAAACAGGAGGAGGCGGAGGAGGCGGAGGAGGAGGAGAAGGAGGAGGAGGACAACAGCTCTGATCAAATCTAACAACCCTCACCTGGCAGGTGGGGAACAACATTAGTGTAGGTGTATAATGGTGTATACACAATAACAAACATTAACAAACTCAAAATCATATTTCGGAGATGAACATCCCTCAAGAACTGCTATTTTGATGCCCACACCAGGGTAAAATCATTGAGTCTGTAGGGTTTTGATCGATGGCCATATGAAAATTATGATCAATCATCACACATCGAATCCAGAAGTTGTTTCCCTTGCTCACCAGCAGTTTTGCATATATATATATATGTACACATAGATGTGTTGTTTCTGCAACGCCTTACAACCCCAACAACAGTTTACTTTTCGGCAAAAACTGCGACATGACCATCTCTCATGCGATGGTTGGTCCCGGGCATCCCGTCACCCGCCATGTTTCCTGAGTTTTGACACCATGTTTCATCTGTATTCCCTCAAACCCCAGAATGGTTTTCATGTTGACTGTGAACGAATATCAAGTGACAATTATACTCATACAGTATATTTTGGGTAGTACCAAGGTTTGATGTAAACTTTACATGACATCAATGGGCCGTGTGAGGCCCTTCTCAGTTGGGCGTTCACGAGCGCAGAACATGCTGGCCGTGGCTCTAGCCACTCAGGAGAGAATGCGAAAAGGTGGAAAAATTCATGATGAACTGGATGAACTGGTCATTTTGAGTAGGAAAGCGTTACTAGTTATTAGCATTAGAACTCCCAAAAGTAGGCCACCCAACAGGTGTTTTCACAGGTTTTGGAGCTCCAAAAGTCAGCGCTTTATGGATGAAACATGATGGTTGCAGGATGATCAGGCCAAAGTTCGTCGACTCGAGCAGGCTGCAGGGGAGAATCGTGGTGAATCCCTGGATGTTTATGGATTTTTAAGGTCCCCTAGCCCTAGCCATATCATAAAATGCAACTGGAAAAAAGGGACAAATCATGATGGAAAAAAATGCGTTTTCTTGGTGCTCTGTATTCAGACACACCAGCATGTTTCAAATTTATCCGGCACTGGCATGATTCAATCATGATAATGATATTCGATAATGTTTGTTATTGTGTTCCTGTTTCAATGATCATGATGAGTGATCTTTTTCATTTTTTTCAGGGACTGTGGCTCAACCAGCAATCACCACTCAAATGTGGCCCAAGCCACTTCTATCAACCGATGGCCCTCCAAATTCTCATTTTGCGTGTTTTGTTTGCTACAGTTCTGCATGCTGCAGTTTCAATCCCTGGTGCTTGCGAACTCTGCACTATCGATGATTTTGCTGCTTAACTCCTATTATATAACCATTACTAACCACTATTAACCATTACTAACCACTATTAACCATTAACCACTATATTTATTGCTAGGTAGCTGGGATAGCAATTTTTTCAGGCCGTTCATCAGCCATCAGCGCCGCTCTTTTCGAGGCGTTGGAGACACCCTGCGTGCGCTACGAGCGCGCCCAGACGCCACGGCTGATGCAGGTCGGGTCGAGCTGTATCCCATCGATGGCCGAGGTTGGATCGTTCCCAAAAATTGGCCATTCGTATACCCTAAAAATTTGAGACACAGCCAGTGCCCAGATTCATCCAGAGTTGGTTAATGTTGGTTAGTTATATGTTAATTCTATGTTCCCAACATTAACCAACATTAACCAACATTAACCAACAATAAAGGGGCCTATGGGGATATAATGTTCATATAAATCTTCCATTACATCCCCATAGGCCCATAGAAGTCATTCCCATGTCCCAACGATCCAACACGCATCGACCCGAAGGTGGCGCGTGATGCCACTGTGCTCAGGGGAGAACTCACCAGAAAGGACTGGGAGCAGCGGACCACTCGTCGGATTGCATGGACAATTTTACACACTGCGTTTTGTTTCCAATGAAAATCAAGGGTGGGTTCCATAGATTTTCCTCACATGGGTGCTTCACAATACGGAAAAACGGAAGTTTGAACAGAAAAGAAGTGATAAATATGGGTTAAAGATGGTTAAACCATCACAGGCATTCTGTTTGAATACTAGGCAGAAGCCAGACGTTTTGACGATGTCGTTTTGATATCAAGAGCTTTTGTGCTCAAAATCTGATGCCCCCCGGTCCCCGCTGCACTAAGTGTCACCAGATAGCAGCGGCGGAGGGCGACTCGTGGTGCACGGGCTGCAGCGCTTGGGAGTTCCTTGGAAGGGAACTTACGGCCAGTTGGGATTCTGAGGGAGCCAGGGTGCTGGCAGGTGACTTGGCAGTTACCGCCGCGCGCCAGGTTAAGGCGCTCAGATCCCTCAGCTCTGGGCTGGCCAGGGTAGCAGGTGGTCCTTCTGCTGGCACTGGCCGTGCAGAGGTTCCTGTACCCGCCGCCGAGCCCAAGCGCCGAGCAGAGCAGCCCCATACAGGTCGTGATTCTTTGCCCCGAAGGAGGGCACCTCTACCACCTCCGCCATTGCCCCCAAAGGAGGAGGAGAGCGAAGAAGGAGAAGAATCAGAAGAGGAGACCAGGGATCGATCAGTGGGTCGAAGCCCAGCCCCTGATCATCGGCCTTTGCCAGACGGTTCAAGGCGACCGCCTGAGCCTGACACCCATCGCGGAGAAGGAAGCGATCGAAGGGAGTCCCGCAGGGCCCGAGACGCTGGGAGCACCCGTGCGTCCGACAGGTCCAGGAGATCCCGGAAACGAGAGCATCGAGAACATCGAGACGGTCATAGCTCAAGGAGGGGCCGCACTCGAGGAGGGCGCAAACATCAGCGCTTGAAGAGATTGGCAGTAGATCCTACTTTGAGGGTTCATCGAAAACCAGCCGCAGACTTCTGGGAGCTTACTTCTACGCAGGAGAAGCCCCTTGAGTGCACGCGTCTGGGCTATTGAGATGGCCAATTTCCCTGAGGGAGCTGAAGTTGACGTGGACTCACACGAACAATGGAGCGCTCTGCAACCAGTACCCGGCCTAGTCGTAGAATTCAGTGCCAAAACCTCGTCATTGGCTCATGTAGAAGACGACTGGGCTGCCTATTTTATCAGCAAAGTGGAAAATCGTTTGGACGGAAGCTTGGTTTTGTCTGGTCATTACATGGGATGCACCGACCCCGACTTGGGAAAGCAGTTGGAGGAGACGGCACCCAGGAGGGTGCTGAGAATTCACCTATGCTTGTCAAGGCCTTGTGTGGATATAGAGCCCGATGCAGATATTCACGTCACTACTGTCAGGCTCTGGAGTTTCGAGAACTTCAAAGGGTGCGACTATGTTGTGGCTTCCAAGTGGACTGCCGCCAAACGGTGGATAAAGGCTTTGGAAGAGGAGAAGGGAGAGACCCCGGGAGGCAAGAAGGGGCCTGGGCGCAAACCTCCTGGCGCTGGCAGGGCCGCTGGCCGGTTGGCCGGGCCGTCCCGTCGCCGCGCGGCCAAGGAGAAACCTGGGCCCGACACTGCCATACCGGGAGATCTCAGAGCCAAGCTCCGCGAGAAGTTGGCAGCCGCAAAGAAAATGAAAGACGCTGGCACTCCAGCCGCAGACGTCGAGGAATCAGAGGTGGTTGCAAGCTCAGAGGAGAAATCGTCTTATACAGATGAGGAAGAACCACTGGGAACGGGAACAACTCTCCCCACACTGCGCCCGCCGGCACTTCGCCGAGGCGATGGCGCGCGCGTCGAGGGGGTGGAAGATCCATCAGCTATAAGAGATATTTCTACCAAAAGCTGGAGCGGCCAGCTGGCTTTGAAAGCCCTGGAAGTGACCAATCAGGAGGCGAAGAAGAAGAAGAAGAAGAAGAGCAAGCATCCTGGCAAGGAGATGGCAGAAGCGTTAGCCAAGATCCTTACACAGGATGGCAAGAAGAAAAAGAAGAAGAAGAAGAAAAGAAAGCGAACAGTCCTAGCAGATGGGACGATACGCAGCTACAGTGCCAGTTCGAGCGCGTCTTCGGACTCGGAGGAGAAGAAGGACGAGTCAGAGACAGATCTCGAGGCCCCGGTCAAGAAACGAAGCCGGGACAAACCGGGAAGTGTGCTGGCAATGTTGGTGAACCATGTCAGAGATCAAATGGAACAAGCGGCACTTACCGATCTTCCACAAGGTCATCAAGCAGTGACTTCAGGGGTGAAGTTAGCCACATACTTCGCCCAGCAAGTGAGACCAGCGCATCCCACGTTCCTGAGGGAACTGAGGGAAATGCATTCCCTCGCTGCTACGATGGACCTCCTCAGGAGGGGAGACATAGCGAGGGTTGGAGACTCGTTGGCGGCGCGCTTCATGGCGCTACATCAAAGCATCCTGGACAATGGATGGACCACGGCGCGCTTCATGGAACTACATCCTATGGAAGAAAGCGCCGCAGGATCGGCCTCAATTGTCCTGGCCTCACGAAAACATGGAAGGTTAGTAGACAAGGTACAAGGAAAGGGAACTCCGGCATGGGGCAATTGGGGCTGGGGAGCGCGAGGTTGTGGAAAAGGCGGTTGGAAAGGATCCGGCGAGTTCAGCAACGCTGGCAAGGGCGAGAAAGGAAAGGGCAAAGATCGCGGCAAGAAAGGAAAACACAAGGGCAACCAAGGGACCTGGGACGAGAAGACCTCGGACTGGGCCAAGAGCAAGGAGACCCCAGGGGACAAGTGATGGGCGGCTCTCTGGAAAAATCCGTCGAGAGCAAAAGGCCCAGTTTGGTTTCAACTACAAGCTGGAGTGAGGTGTTGAGCTGCTGCACAACCTTGAAAAGGAGTGGATGTGCGCTGGCATGGTGCCTGGCTCACGGCTGCAATATTACAGAGTTGCATGACACGGTTTTTCAGGTGAGGGACTTCTTCACCCCCGGCATGAAGCACAGGGTGGCCCGCAAGCGTGCCATCTTTCCTTTGCACGAGGGAGATTTTGCCTCAGCACTACGGCTTTTTGCAAGTGTGAATTTAACAGACTCGGTTACCGAGGATTTCACCAGCCTGTGGAGTCGAACTGCTTGGACCATGCTGTCATGTTATGCCTGCCAGACTTTAGGGCATGGCCACACCCCCTTCTTGAAGGGAAAGTGGACTGCGCTGGAGACTCGACTGGTGGCTGCCGTGGAACAGACTGTCAATAGGATGTTAAGCCACGGCCATGCGGAGGTGAAAGACACTGAGGCGGTTGAAAAAGAGTTGAAGAAGCGCAGGGTCAGTTACGAGGGGGAAGAAATAGGAGTTTGTCACTGCCTAAGTTTGGAGCAAATTTTGCCGGCCTTACCACCAAAACAACATGGGGGGTCTATTGAGGTGTTGGAGTATGTTTCGGAGACCACCAAGCACTTCCTTGATAACCCCGAAAAACTGGTTGTTGAAGATGTAGGTCAGCAATTGCCAAAGCTGCAGGGGAAAATTCACGTTCAGGGGAATGAGATTAAGAAAATTGCGGCGGAGCTGGTTGATCGAGGGGTGTGCACTTGGATACCATGGACACAAGTTGCTGAGTTTAGGAAAGAGAAGGTCCTTAATGGTTTGTTTGGCGTGGAAAAATGTGGACTTGTTGATGGAAAGAAACCTATTTTGCGTTTAATCATGAACCTGGTGCCCAGCAACTCCATTCTCAAACAGTTCAAAGGGTTCACAAAACGGCTTCCTCATATAACTTCCTGGCTGTCTACCTACGTTGAACATGGAGAAGAACTGCGTTTATGGCAAAGTGACATGTCAAATGCGTTTTATCTGTTTCGGCTTCCGGAGAAATGGCAGAGATTTCTGGCTTTTAATGTTGTACACAAACATTGCGAGATTTATGGAGGAGATGATCAAACTTTGTTTTGCTTGGCATGTTGTGTACTTCCAATGGGCTGGGGAAGCTCAGTTTCAATCATGCAAGAAGTAAGTGAAAATCTCTTGTTAGGGGGCAACATGCCGGAATGTAGCCAAGTAGTCAGGGGTAAACCGCTGCCGAAGTGGATGGTTGGGTTACTGGATGAATCTCGCACGTCTGGGCGAGCATGGTGGCATATATACCTGGACAATTTTGCAGCAGGGGAGATTGACAAATCAGGGAGCACTTTTCTTTCAGGTGAGATTATTCACCAAGAGGCTGAGCGGTTGTGGACAGCTGCTGGAGTGGTGTCAGCGGCAAAGAAGCGAAAATCAGGGGAAATCACTGGACAAGAGTTGGGAGCATATTTGAATGGAAGTGAGCGCACAATGGGCCCATCGCCAGAGAGGATGATCAACTTACTTTTGGGAACTATGGCACTCTTGAGCAGGAGAACGTTGTCACGAAAGTTACTGCAGGTCATAGCTGGAAGATGGATACATGTGTTTCAGTATCGGCGACCAGCCATGAGTTTTTTAGAGAGTACCTGGGAGTTTATTAGCTCAAAAGGGACGCTACTGGACCTACAGTACAAAGTTCGCCGAGAATTGTTTGCTTGTATGTGTGGACTACCTATGATGCACACATTCCTGGGAGCTGAGATTTCAGATGTCATAACTGCCAGTGACGCCTCAAGCATTGGAGGGGCGGTTGGTATCGCAACACAACTCAGCAGCGAAGGAGAGGACTTTGTGAAGAGCAGTTTGAGAGCTGACAACCCCCAGCCCACGGGCATCATGGTGTTGTCGTTGTTTCATGGAATAGGAGGGTCATTTAGAGCTTACGACGTGCTGGGAATCCGACCTGATGCGTTAGTGGCCTTTGACATTCACCAACCTGCAATGAGGATCACTTCCCGACGGTGGCCCCATGCAGAGCTTTATGGAGATGTCAGACAACTGAACAAGGCACAACTGGAACAACTTCTCATGAGATACCCCACAGTGACTGAATTGCACGTGTGGGGTGGCTTTCCATGTGTAGACCTGTCATCGGTCAATGTCCGAGGGCAGGGATTGGATGGGCCGCAATCATCCCTGTTCTATGAACTGAAGCGGGTCTTGAAGGAGCTCAAGGAGATAGGACATATTAAGGTCAAGTTCATAGCTGAGAATGTCGCATCAATGCCCAAGCACGAATGTGAACGGATAACTGAAGAACTGCAGGTGAAACCATACCATCTCAACTGTGCAGATGCTGTGCCCATGCAGAGACCCAGATTATGCTGGACATCCGAATGTCTTGAGGGCTGCCTCGGAGGAATAACTTTCAGCGAAGAGCAGTATTGGGTTGCAGTCTCTGCCCCAGCCTCGTATCCACAGCAAGCTGACTGGATAACAGAAGGCACGTGGTGGCCAGGCGGAGATGAAGGCTATACTTTGCCTACTGCGCTAAAGAGCATTGAGCGAAAAAGGCCACCACCAGCTCCGGCGGGCATACACAGGTGTGATACAGACACATTGGCACGTTGGACCTCTGACAGTTACCGTTTTCCCCCATATCACTATTTACCCAGGTTTATTTTCTGGACGAATGACAAATGGAGGCTTGCCAATAGCTCTGAGAAGGAACTACTTTTGGGTTACGGTTTTAACCACACCAAACTGTGTTTCAGTGCTTCCAAAATCAAGAGTTCGGGGCAGAAATACGAAGATGAGCGGTTGTGTTTATTGGGGGATAGCTTTAGCGTCTTCTCCTTCATCATCCCAGCAGCGGCACTGTGCAAACACCTCCTGCCCACATTGCAGTACAGTCAGTTAGTTGACAGAATGGGATTGGCTCCAGGTTTCACTTGTTCACTCAGACGCACGGCACCAATCAAGCGGTGGTTACAATATGGAAGTTCCACTATACCACGGCCTGTGACTACTAAAAGCTTAAATCAAATTCTCCTTTCCAAGACCAATCACACTGGGTCTGATGTACGAATGTCTACGGGGGAGTTCCTCAATCCTAAGGCAGTTGTTCGGCAGAGCATTGAGGCATCATGGTGGAAATGGGAGCATTTGTTTAATTACAGGTGGAAATTAAGTGAACATATCAACGTTTTGGAGCTGCGAACCATTCTACATGCTATCAGATACCACATCATGCACTTAAAAGCTTGTCATCTTAGGGTCTTCCATGTGACTGATAGCTATATCTGCATGAGCGTGATCTCGAAGGGACGCACCAGCAGCAGACAGCTCTCTCGGGTACTCAAGAAGGTCAACGCACTTTTATTGGCTTTTGGGATTCATTGCATTATCTCGCACGTGGAAAGCACTGATAATCCTACAGATGAGGCCAGCAGGACGGTGGCAATGCTTTCATCGAAAAACACGGGCTGAAAGAGTAGCAGATCGCAGAAAAATCCTACTTTGGGATGCTGCGATCACAAAGAAAACTCAGGAAAGGTACTTCATTGGGGTACAGAAACTTTTACCATACCTAGGTGGGGTCACAACTGGAAGGGCCCTTGATGAGAGAGTCTCTGATTGGATACAAAAAGCTTGGGAAGAGGGGGAAGCACTACATATCATAAGTGATGCACTGTGTGGTCTTCAGCACTACGAACCATGGACAAAGAACAAGCTCGCACTGTCATGGCGTTTGTTTAAAGTATGGAGGAAGGTGGAAGCCCCCAATCGGGCTCCACCTTTGACAGCTGAAATAGTGGATGCCTTTTTATTCTATGCCATAGCCCATAGGAACCTAAGCTTCGCTGCAATGATCTGTTTGGGTTTCTATGGGTTGCTGCGGACGGGTGAATTGCTTCAGATCAGACCATGCGACATGATCCTAGGAAACAAGAGCGGCGTTATAAGTCTGAAGAACACCAAAACAGGACTCCGAAATGCCGCGCAGGAAACTGTCAGCATAACAAATGCAGTGGCGCTGGAAATTCTCCGTGCAGCCTCAGAGGACCAACAAGCGCAAGGCATGCATAAGGTACCTATATGGGTTAGATCCCCCTCAAGCTTCCGCAACGAATTCAGGTATCACTGTCAAATCTTTGATGTCTTGAAGCTAAACTTTCGACCCTATTCGTTAAGAAGGGGTGGAGCGACGGCGTTATTTCAACAAACAGGCAGTATGGAGACTGCATTACTCAAAGGACGCTGGCAATCAACGAAAGTAGCCAAAATATACTTGGTTGATGGGCTTAGCTACCTGCCAGGGTTGTCTTTTAGCGTCAAGGCTCGTAGCATGCTAAAGCAGTGGTCATGTTCAGAACAGCTTAAGACTCCGTGACTAGGGCCAAGTATCACTTTTTCGTCCTCTACAAGCTGCTTTTGTGATCAGCTCGTGGTAGGGGCCGTGGAGAACCACCGTTTCAATGCATGATTTTCTTTTTCGTGGTCGTCCTTCCATGGACCAAAAACACCACAAAGAAAACCCCTTCCATGGGGGAGGTATGAAATCCTAAGGAGATCTCCTTCCATGGAGACCAATGTTTCAAAGAGATGAATTTCACGTTTCTTTAACAGGAGACTCTGAACCATCAGAGTCCAAAATCCTCAGCTTCATGTCGGAAAAAGGCAGGCTGGGCTGAGGCCTAGGCATTCTGTTTGAATACTAGGCAGAAGCCAGACGTTTTGACGATGTCGTTTTGATATCAAGAGCTTTTGTGCTCACCCAAACCCTCACCGCCCTTTTGGAGGCCGAGGGAGAACCACCGTTTCAATGCATGATTTTCTTTTTCGTGGTCGTCCTTCCATGGACCAAAAACACCACAAAGAAAACCCCTTCCATGGGGGAGGTATGAAATCCTAAGGAGATCTCCTTCCATGGAGACCAATGTTTCAAAGAGATGAATTTCACGTTTCTTTAACAGGAGACTCTGAACCATCAGAGTCCAAAATCCTCAGCTTCATGTCGGAAAAAGGCAGGCTGGGCTGAGGCCTATTATTATGAACAGTGAAGGTTTCGACATCCCAAGCATAGTTATTGGGTGAACGGTGCTGGTCCCCATCAACAGCTATTGGGCCCTGCAATGTCTTTTGGTACAGCACCGGCTACGACTGGAGGGTTAAACTCATTTGGGATTTGGTCTGCGGAGGATCGCAAAAAGGCTTGGCAAGACAAGCAAGAGAAGGAAAAGAAGGAAGAGAAAGAAGAGAAAGAAGAAAAACAAGAAAAGACTGGATCTCAGATCTCAGCTTGATCATGCTGAAATCATGCACTTTCATTCTGTCTTTCCACTTTGTATGATTTGTATTGTTTTGTCGGATTCAGAAGATTCTTCCCACATTCGTCGAGATTGGCAAGGGTGTGACTCATCACTTGAAATTTAAACATCCCAAATGTGTTCCATACATTTCCACGCCACATTGAATATGAGTACCAAGATTTGGGCAAACAGGCTTTTTCTTTGGCAAGTGTGCACAATCAGTAGCATCATATAGCCCACTTCCAAGCGGCCTTGCCGGCGCTTGCCCGCGGCTCAGGTCGGAGGCGCATGAGAACCCGAAGCCTCCGCCCAGTCCAGAGGAGCAGAGCCGGCAACAAGCTGTGGCCAGTCCAGGGAGGATCGTGGGATATCATAGGTAGTTATACATGGTTACCCTCTGGTTATTTAACATAGCCATGGTATAGATGGCCCATTTATAGATGGTTTACCTGTTAAAAATGGTGATTTTCCATTGCTATGTTAGTTTACCAGAGGGTATACATGGTGATACAAACCATCATAAGAATGGTGATTTCATGAGAATCGTGGGAACTATGGTAATGCTGTAACGGTGTAACTGTGGGCTATACAACATTGTAGAACTGTGGTAATAATTATGGCTATAACTCTGGTATATAATAACTATGGAAATAGCTATTAACCTTGGGTGCAGGCTAGGGGTTAGTTTTTTTCGGTATAACTACGGTGATAACCTTCATAAGTTGGAATATGGGGCCGCTACAACTATGGTGATGATATGCAATTGGATGTAATATGATATATTGGGCTATACAAACCATCGAACATGATCATTGAATGGGAATACAATCAACAATATGGGAATATCATGGGCTTTGTTTAGTCGGGGAGTTTTTGTTTTCCTAACGGACCATTAACCACCCCCTAAGCAAATCCAAGTTGAATAACCCCATGGGAAACCATGGTGGATGTAGGTGATAAACATATATAATATATATATATACATATATAAAGATTAAATCACATATGACTGGGACCATAGAATGGGTGTGTTGAAGATGACTGGGTCTCGATATCAATGGAAAGTGACTATATCATCGGCAGGATCATCTCCATTTTGGCCGCTGCTTTCAACTTTGACGAAGTCGCCTTTTCAAAGTGTCTTCCTTTCATCTAAACCATCAAAATGTCATCATTTCCATCTGTGGCAATAATTTCATGTTCAATCACAATTAATGATTGTCAATCATCTTATTTGATTTCTTTAACCAGAGGTCATCAGCGGAATCGTTGACTTCCCTACATTTACCTACCTTTCGAACTCATTAAGTAGTGTTCAAAGCATTCCCCCCAAAGCACCACCTCATCGAGTTCCTTAGAGTATCGCATTCCACGACTCCACTGATCCACCAACCTCTGTAGGAGTTGATTTGTTAAATCAGCTAGGCTATGCTGTCGGATATTCCTATAAACCAGTATTGAAGCATAGCATAGCATAGCCTAACTGCCTAGCTGATTGATATGTTGAATATCCACTACACCAACGGAACCGTAAGAATATGCAATACATACATTCCCAACAAGAAGAATATCCAACGGATATTTTATGAGAAGAAAACCCAACAAATAACTGGAGAGTTGCCAACCACCGACCCAAAAAAAAAATACTGGGCCGGAGTCGTTGAATCCACCAAGTTATTTCTGCCGAGGGATGACTGTGTACGAAAAATGACTTCCATATGTCATACCCTCTGGTAATGACTAACATAGCTATTGAAAATACCCCATTTATAGTGGATTTACCCATTGAAAATGGTGATTTTCCATAGCTATGTTAAATTACCAGAGGGTAAACATTTTTTTGATTTCTGAATAGATATGATGGGAATGAAAAATGAATTTCAGATGTGTTTTATTCTGAATCCCAGCCGCGAAATTCTCCAACCCCAGCACTTCCACTTTGGTGTGAGATATGATGTTCCCACCACTTCGCATTATTTATTTGTTTATCTGGCATAATGATAATGATAATGTTCCATTATAAACAAATGCCGATAATGTTTAGCTGGCATAATGGAACATATTTGTTTGTGAGATATGATGTTCCAAATACTTCGCATAATGATATTTGGCGGAATTGTTGCCCCACCAGTTAACTGTTAGTTGGTGAAAATAACTTTGCATGAATAATTACTATAGTTATAATACTATAGTTATAGCCTCCAGACCCCCTAGTTATACTAGGTATTGCACCCACTTAGCTAAGTAGGGGGCAATTAATATCTATTATCTATTACAATCACTGATATTTACATATCACAAATGATAGTATAGAAACTGATGTATCAAATTATAGAAACTATTCTGATTCCACCAGCTTAATAATTACCACAGGAAAATGATGGACCATGGAGTTATTTTGGTTTTCATACTTCCCATTCCCGCATACAATTTTCTATTGCGATTGCTTCCACCATCAGAGTATCTAATCATCTATTATGATTAACTGATCGCAACTGATATACATAATTTTTTGGCTTCATCCTTCCGCCATCCATGGAGCTTTCGCTTTGGATTTCCAACATTTTTTTTCAACTTTGATGATTGCTTCCACCATGCTTCCACCCTCCGCCATCCGTATTTACCACACATGATAGTATAGTATGATGTATGGATATTTATAGGTAGTGATTTTTACCACAAGTGATAGTATAGTAACTGATTTATCCTTATAGTTGTAGTCACAACTAATATTGTCTGCTTCATCCATCCAGGACTTGTTGAAGGAAGAGGAGGCCGCAGCACTTCGCATCCAAAGTCTCTACCGCGGTCAGAAGGATCGCCAGACCGTGAAAGCTATGGCGGCGCAGGAAGCACAGGCGGTGCCACGGCGCAACGGTTGTTGGCTCGGGGAGAGCCGGGAAATGGCCATTTGAAATGGGGGAAAAATGATGATAAACCAAGATAAATCAGTGATTTGGGTGTTTCTTTGAGTTTTGCCATAATCTTTAGACAAAGGCATGTGGAATTGTTGATGGAAAACCGGGAAAACACTGGGAGAAACGGAGGTTTGCCGCATTTCAGCCATCAAAAGATGGGGTTACGTTGAAACAACAATGGCGTTGACACCTTGGTGAGTTGGTGAAAGGAGGCAGCCAGAGTTGGAACAGGCGTGAAGCATAACAAGATGCGGCCTTGAGACATTAAGACATTAAGAGTGGGGATGTAGAATAATGGGATTGAACCATCAAAAACGTGGATTCGCACCCAAAAAAAAGACCTGTGCCTTTGCCATCCTTTGCCCGTGAAAATATAGATGTTTTGTTTCCAAAAAAGATGCCCACAACTCATTCATCACTATTTGAGTGGTGTAACCGGGGGTTGAAGCCGAGGCCACCAGGATTCAGAGCATCTACCGGGGTCAGGCGCCGCCCTTTTTTTGGAGGGCCAGGATGGTGTGATTTCTGATTGGATTCCTATGTTTTGATGTGTTTTGATGAGCTTCTGAGAAGTTTTTTTTGCATATTATTAGATGACAGGCAATAGGAGAACGAGGGTGATATATATTTCTTTTTCTCATTTTTTGGCGGTTTCTGGTTGTGGTTTGTGTGGAATGTACTTTTTGAAAGGTCCACACTTCGTCTTGAAACTTCCTTTATTTTGGGCAAGATGATAGATGATTATCATCCCCCGTCGCGATTGAATAAGCCTTCCCCGTTTCGACAAACATGGCTTGTTTATGACCGAGGAACATGCTGTACCCTCTGGCAATCAGACATTGCAATGGAACATCTCTCACAAACTCTCATTTAGTTCGATGATTGTCCCATTAAAAATATTAAAACCTCCAATGCCAGGGGGTATTGTCCCCATGCTTGATGACACCGGAGGGTATCCCCATATGGAATGCTGAAAACTATCGGTATCCTGCAAGGTAGCAAGGCGTGAGATACGAGCTGAATAGGTGCCTGTGAACAACTTGGCACGTCGCACTGGATCGGGGCATCAAAAATATGGAGCCAGAAAAAAGGGGTGAACTTCGAAACATGTAGCATTTATATATACATATCATCATATCGTCATCGTCGTCATCGTCGTCGTCGTCATCATCATCATCATAATCATCATCATCATCTCAGATAATAATTAGTAATAATAATAATAATAATCATCATCTCAGATAATCTGATCTTATCTAGATGTTATCCACTGTTTTATCGCTAAAATCAGTTCCCAGGGATCGATGGGTTTTTGGTCACTGGGGTACCCAATTTTGACCCATAGCTAGAGAAGCCATATGCTGCTGATCTAGTGCAACCATGTGTAGCCTTGTTTTTAAGTGTGGTTTAGATATGTTTATATCCGGCCTTTGCTAATGTGATCCCTGGATTTGTAAAGCCAGGTGCTTAGTGCCCAAAATTGCTACCGTGAGGTGTTTGTGTTTCCTATGTTCAGGACATTCCGTTTGAGTTTGTTATGGGATCCAGCAGTAAAGGGGCCTTGATTCTGAGGTGGAAGAGCCAGGCCGGGACCTTGCCGGGAACGGCCCCATCAGAGTGGTCGTGTTGAGTTGGGTAAACTCAAACCATTTTCAAATTTGTAGGACGGTCTGGGCAAAACTCTTTTGAGGTGATCTGTTGTTTGCTACCAAAAATGGGGATGCTAACCAGCCACGAACTACGAAATCTTTCCTTCTGGTTGGGTAGCTCCCCTGTTTTGGATATCCCTTGTTTGTTGCTAAGGCCCTCAAGCGCGTGAGTGGGAGGAGTTTCGGTGTTCAGCCGTGTTTCTTCGTGACTCAGTAAATCAGGGTGCCACCAACAAGGCATACATGATGCACAAAGAAACTGCAAATCGGTTCAAAGATGAATTGCGCGGCTGGGTCTGTGCTGCAGATGAAACGCAATTCGTGCGTTGTGAAACCAGTCCGTCGGCAGTGTTTCGGAGCTGAGTGCTTGAGCAATAGCTGAAAGACATCAGTGAATGGAAAGAGCGACTTTTTTTTTCAAGATCCTTCTGGAACCACTTGTTCGTTTTGTTCGTGTTCGGACTCAAGTTTCACATGTGCAAATCGCATCTTTTTCACAGCGATTTTCACCCGAGGTTGCTAAAAGCAACTGGAGGGGCTCTCTTGTGTAGACATGTGCAGAATTACGGCATGTTCCATGTCTTTTCATTTCGCACAATGGCACGGCCGGATGCCAAAGGCATGTTTTCGGAAGTGCGGCTGGACATAGTGCAGAATGGGCAAGAATGTTACATCTTTATGTGAACGCAAACCAAGTTTTTCCCCTCGAGTTCTAAATTTAAGGATCAGACGATGTATTGTACGGATCTTGGTAGTTTTTCAGGATCTTTGAATTTCAACCCCTGGAAGTTGAGTATTCAACCGACACCAATCATCCTGTAGCAGTACGAATTGGGATGATCTCAATTGACGAAGATTAGAGTTGAAACATGTTGAAACCATCATTCAGAACCGGTACCAGTATGATACCATCAACTATCCGCATCAGTATCAACCTATCCAGTAGGGGTATCTATATTTCCATATATTTCCTATTATTCCTATTAAATGAGAAGCCAAGGAGCTACCAGGAGTTTCCCAAACATAGGATAGCAACATCCGACATCATTTCCAGAATCCCCAGATTTTGTTGGCTTCACTATGTCTAGCTGCAAGCGGACCGTCAGTGATCGAAGGATAAATTGATTGCACCGATCCCCATTTCACTGAAATGTGTGGTTCTTTAACCCTCCAAGGAGTTTACCAGATGATACTGGATTTTACCATAGCTTGAGGATATTTGAGAAAGTTTCATAATTAAATATAATGTCTGCCCTTGATTTATAAATGGGCCCCCCCCCCTCTCTGACCCTAAATAGACTTAAGGCCACCATAAAACTTGTTTGTATGTAAAGGTTTTAGTATTCCACAATTGAAAACGAATACATAAAATGCAATTAAAAAAAAAAGGAATCCAGCAATTGTTTTAGTATTGATCTAGTACTCATGTCATGGACTTAGTATTGATCTGGGCAAATCTGGGTTTAGGGCCAAAAAAAATTAGCTTTATTTAGGGGGCATTTATTATTTATTTTGGGAAAAAATTAGCTTTATTCAAGGGGCATTTATAAATCATAGGTCAACATTAATTGCTGGAATTCATGCGAAAGAAATGCGCTAGTCCAACGATTGCTTTGTCCAAACATGTCTGAAGAACGAGGAATATAATATAATAATATAACACAATACAATATAGTAATTTGATATTATACAATATCACATAATACAATAAAATATAGTATAATACCATGAGATTGAGGAGTAGTCTATTCGCAAAAGCCCATCGCGGAGTGTCGCTCATGGTCCGCCGATGTTCTGGCGAAATATGCGGAGTTGTGTTCTGCCAGTTCCACCAAGTTGGTTTCTGTATGTATACAAAGAAGAATGATTATTGAAATAGTTCCTTAAATAGTTCTAACAACAAGTAGATATATACTTGTGATTTTTCGGGTAATTTAAATAGAATGAAATTTGTGATACTAAATGTTGGAAGGATTCAACTGAGATAGTCTGAAATGACCAAGGTTGTACTAGGAATAGTGGAAGCCTCATGTTGAACTTTGTACAGGAAGCATCGCCATTTTGATTCCGAACAGCAAAACCCTCAACACTTGTTTTAGTTGAATATTTTAGATCAGTCAATAGAAATCTTAGTCAAAATTATGACTAACAATAGACAAACCCATACAGTTTCCTCACTTTCCTACATGTAAATGTATATGATGGCCGTTTCATAGGGAACATGATGAGAAAAACCGAGGTTATCACCATGGGATACCATGGTGCATCCTACGTATTCACACAGCAGCCACGTGAATCTCTACGTATGTTTCATGTGTTTTTTTTGTTCCAATGAATGGCACTCTGCTTTAAAGCAACATAGATTTGGACATCAAACGGACATCACAAAATTCGTTGATCCTATTCCAGCCACGGGAATTCCCATGGCGTCTTTCCACGACTCGAGTCGTGGTCGTTTCCCCAGTCGCTGGTCAGGACCTGCTGTTTCGCCGCCTTGGAGGAGATGGGTTCTCTAAGCTGCTGGATGAAGCTGAGGTGAGAGGGTTGTCAACCATGGCCATGGCTGGAAAATCCTTCTTAGACATATCTGATAAATATTGATACATGCTGCTTATAGCTGGGAAAATCAGCAAAAAAAGCATCTATAAGTTATAGATAAGCTAGAATTGGGGGATGTTCAGCCTATGTTTGATGACACCAGAGGGTATCCCTTGGGTGGGGGAAGGGGAGGGAGTTTAAGCCACAAGTGTGAGCCCTACATTTGATGAATATCCCCACAGCCGTATGACGGGTCTTACCTGGTTATCTGTCAGCATACGAAATCAGGAATCACGACCATCCACCGGCATAGTGGGGATAGCCCAGTGGGGAAAATGAAGCCCGAGGAAAATAGAAACGAACAATTATAAATTTATAAACAATAAATTTAAAGTTGGTGATATAGTTTACACAATCGATAAATTTTATGGGTAAGCCAGTTGGTGAGTAGTTGGTGCCTGTAAAGGCCGGGAAATCAGTTTCCAGGCAACTTCAATTGCAAAAAATCGGACAGAAGCATCCGAGAAATTACGGGCTAATCAACAAATGAACTCTGAAGAATTGCCCTGTAACCCAACATGCATGACGGAAATGCAAGATTCACTAGCAGAAATGGCGTAATAGCCATAAAGTCAATCAAGATGGTGAAGCCGGTAATTCTAAAGTAATATGCAAAAACAAGTAAAATCATACAACATCAATAAATCCAAGCAATAACACGTCCTAACATCATAGTTGGATTCCCCAGTTGCAGGATGACAAGTCAATAAGTCCCAGGAGTCTGCCTTTGCAGCAAAAACTCGAGGATTT